TGGGGATAATTAGCGATGTCTCGCTCGCTAAATTATAGCTCCAGGTACTTTTCAAAGCAACTTCCTACAATGTAATCCAATCAAAAAATATTGGAGTTTTTAGATAGAGCTTTCATATATGAATCTATTGATGTAAAAATCTGTGAGTTAGCTATTAAAACACTGACGTTGCAAAGAAAACACGAAAAACACGCGAAATCGCAATATGGAAAATCTAAAACTTGACTTGATTCTATTCTCATGCAAAATCCCACTCTTCAAATATGGAAAGTATTGAGAAATGTTTTGAGAAGCTAAAAAAAGTCGAACAATTTTGTGTTTTTCTTAAAACAAAGAATAAAAAGAGCTCTAGAATGTTTATGTCTTATTTTGCTCTTTTTAAAGGTCATTGTATATATTTAATGTACTACATGAAGTTGACATACTGTTACAAATATTTGAACTTATAAAATGCCTTATTCGCATGAAACTTCCCTAAAACACAACTTCTCATAAAAGAAAGGCTTATTTACCTTGTAGTCAAGTCCAGCATGATCACGGAATCCCATACTTTCCACCTCATAAGTGCCATTTGGTGTGTTTAGATCACCTCTAGCAGAAATTCCTCCCTAAAAGGTTACGGCAGAAGTCCTGCCCACATGGATAATGCAATTGCACATTACTTAACAAGGGGTTACCTCTGCAGTATACGGTAGAGGAGTGCAGTTACAACGAGCAAACTCTTCGTGAGTATAGTCATTATACCTAATAGTCATTTTTCATTTAGGACGAAAGTTAAATTATTCAAAATCCAGAAAAAAACTCAATAAACCTCATAAGCTTTGTCAGGCTATCAATATCCACAACCTTATGATGATCTCTGTCAAAAATCCTAGCTCTTGGAGTAGATCCCCATTTGTACCAGTTGAATTGTCTAGCCTAAAGAGGTTACTTAGTAAGACGAAGTTTTCAAAGAGAATAACTGACCTTCTCACTAAATCCAGAAATTATGTTGATATCCTTGATGAATGGAACATTGTAGGAAGGCCAATAGGAGTATTTCTTCAAAAACCACGTCACATCCTCCATTCGTATGGATCCGCTGGAAGCATGAATTGTCAGATTTTATACATGGAAGTCTTAATGATGGATAAATGCGCTTACGGCGTCTGTTCGAGGATCCACAGCATATCCTGATTAGGAATGTCTTGTCCTGGTTTGAATTGTTTGTAATCGACAACGGTCCATTGGTTATTATAGGTACCAGAGTTGTAACGAGAGAATAACTCAACCCATTTCTTTGGTGTGCTAAACATCAGGGTTATAGAATTTTAGTTACTCATCCTAATGCTATAAGCGTGCAAAAATGAGGTAGTTTATAGTTTGATTTTAAGGGCTACGGTTAATCGCTTTGAAGAAAATATAATTAGAAATACTGATTAATTAATCTAATTTAGTTATCAAATGTCCTGCACTTATCAATACAACCAGATTATT